TGGAGGGGCTTGGAGAGACCAGGTATGGAACAGAGGGGGCTTGGAGAGACCCTGGGTGCAGCTCCAGCCTGGCAGGGGAGCCGGGCACCTCGTGGGCAGCACAATGAGCCAGCACCTCTCTCTGCTCCGGCTCGAGGACAACCTGGTGCCATCATCCCTGGAGAGGGTGGCTGGGTCCTGCACGGTGCTTTGTGCTTCCTTCTGGGGTGGGAAAAACTGTGGTGGACAGATGGACAGATGGATGGACGGACGGATGTGGGCTTAGGATCTCAGAGGCAGCATCAGCAGAATGAGCAGCAGAAGGACAGACAGAAGTTGGGAGCGTTCAGGGCCAGCACAGGCTTCAGGCAGCAGATCCAGCAGGACAGACAGACAGACAGTTGATGGACCCAACATCCAAAAGACAGACAGACGGACGTGGGCTTGGGGAAAAGGTTCAGAGAGGTGGGGGAGAGGGCAGACAACTGAGGGCTTGGTCCTTTTGAACAGATGGATGAACGCAGGCACAGCATTTTGGATGCCCAACATCAGGTCATAGATGGACAGACGGACTTGAGCTCTTGGCTCAGACGCTCAGCACAAGTTCAGGTAGAAGACGTAGCAGACAGACAGACAGACAGACAGACATGGACGGATGAGAGGAACTTGGGTGACTCAAACATCCAGCACATGGTTCAGGTAGGAGATATAGCAGATGGCCAAGCGTAAGATCTCAATCTTGGAGAGCTTCTTGTCTGGTGGCAGCGTGGGCAGCAGCTTCCTCAGCTCGGCGAAGGCCATGTTGAAGGCTTCAACACGGATACGTTCCCTGGTGGCGTGGGCTGTCCGGTATTTCGCTGTGGCACGGCGCCGACGGCGACGTTCTTCTCGACTCAAGTGCTGGAGATCTTTCTTCACACTCTCACCTTGGGATTGAGAACATAACCCAACACCACCCGTGTCTTCGGCGTTACCAGCGCGGCCACCGCCGCAATCGCTGAAGATGGATTCGGATTCGGAGTGTGTCGGGGGTAAATCGATCTCTGTCTGGTCTGAATTGAGCATCATCTTTGAAGATGGATGGATGGATGGACAATGAGGTGGATGCTTCAAGAGATTGTGGTACTTCAGGAGGACAGGTTGACCTGGACACGATGGAGAAGTAAAATCGCTCTGGTTTCTCTCAGGTTATGAGTGATGGGATGAGAGGAAATGGCCTCAAGTTGTACCAGGAGAGGTTCTGAGGATGAATTTCTTCACTGAAAAGGTTCTTGGGCAGTGGAACGGGTCTAGGGAGGTGGTTGAGTCACCATCCCTGGGTAGATGAGCTGCTCAGAGATCTGGTTGAGCAGTGGACAGGTACAGTTGGACTCGATGATCTCAAAGATCTTTTCCAACCAAACGATTTTATGAGTCTATGAAAGAGAAGGTCTCCAGATCACAGCAAAGCCCTGGTTATTCTCCTCCTCTTCCTCCTCATCACACACAATCTCCTGGAGGGAATTGCTAAATTCTCCGTTTCCCTTGGAAAACTCGGTGGGAAAGTGACAGTTTTGGCAATAAATAATATAAAAAAGATGGCAGGATGCATAGAAATGAGAGAAATCAAAGAAATCAATCAAGATCTTCTTGATGTGGCCAGGACAGGACTCGGTTTTGGAGCTGTCAGGTGTCAGAGTTGAACTTCTTCCTCCTGCTCTGGAAACCAGAAGCACAAGGGACTGTGAGCACCGCTCGGCTCCCGGTAAACACGAGACGTCACCGGAGAGAACGGCTGTTCCCTCCACCTGCCCTGCGGCATCGATCCCAACCGGAGCAGAGGGACAACCTGTCCCCTTGTCCCACCTTCTGTCTCCTCATCCCACCTTCTGTCTGACCTTGGCTCACGCTCCAGGTCCCCCCACCCTCCACTCCATCAACCCCCCTCAAGTCCTGAGCAGTGGAGAGGGAATCTCTGAGGTGGCTTTAGGAGAAGGTAGAAGCTGTTTCTCCCGGTTCTCCGGGGGGATGACAGGTGGTGGATGAGCAAAGGGGGGGGGAAAAAACCAGACTGCAGGGGTGAGGGGAAGCAGG